GGGTAGACGTTCCAATCTTATTGAAATTCTTGCGTCTGGGAGCTTTCGCACGATTCTCGGCGTCCGTGGCAGCGTAACAGTAGCAAATCGCTAGGTCAACAACACGGAAGACGCGTTTAGGTCGTTGTGTCGGAACCGGCGCAGCTAAGGAGAAGGGGCGGTGCAAAATCACAAGTAGACGTTCCAATGTTATGGAAATGTGCGCGGCTGGGAGCTTTCGCGCCGCCGCCGCCCAAAGGAGGGTTGTTACAAAGGATGATGGCGGGTATTTGTCCAACTGCCCCGCCGCCGCCCACTCGGCCATGCGCTTTGATTTAGCGCGGCGTGACACTGCAGTCCACTTCGACGTAAACTATTGTTAACAACAACTACCCACTCCTTGCCCACCAAAGTGCATTTTTTCAACGGATTATGCTCGGTAGTTGTTGGTAATAACCAACACTACCCGACCGCCGCCCCACCGGGTTGTCATTTTTAATATAGCAGCACGCGGTCACCGACGTCATCACTTCGACATATATTTTGTACAACAACTACCCACCCATGACCCCTGGAGTGTATTTTTTGTCACGTAATAGAAATGCGGGTACTTTGGGTAGTTGCAAATTATTTCAAAGAAAGTAAAGGGGGGGCATCTTTTTCTTTTAAAATCTGCAACTACCCAAGTACCCGGCAATCTTACGCGACAAAAAATACATTCCGGTGGACATGGGTGGGTAGTTGTTGTACAAATAATATGTCGAAGCGACGTCGGTGACCGCCGTGTCATATAAAAATGCAATCCGAGTGGGCGGCGGCCGGGTAGTTGTTGGTTAGTACCAACAACTACCCGGCCATAATCTTTTGCAAAAAATGCATTCTGGTGGGCAAGGGTGGGTAGTTGTTGCGCAAATAATTTGCCGAAGTTACTACGGTGTTCGCCGCGCTGCATCAAAGCGCATGCCGAGTGGGCGGCCCCCAGGTTGCCGCGGGGGGGCCCAGGGGCGGCTGCCAGGTTGCCGCGGGGGGGTCCAGAAGTATATCTCCTTGATAGGACCAAGTAGATGGGTGCCTCCCCCCCGCCGTCGGCCGCGCCGCCGCCGCCGGCCCCGCGCGTCTTCCGCGGCTGCCGCGCTCGAGTTTCTTGGGCGCCGCGCGTGGCAGTTTAGCGCGATGTGCATTGCACCGCGCATATGGTGCCAAGATAATATAAGAACCTATTGTTTGGGGTGAACATTGATTTTTACAGCGGCCAAGCCTCGTCAAAAATAAACAGAAACGCAGATGGAAAGCACAGCGATCGATCTTCTCGGGCACTCGCTAGAAATTGCGTTCTTCAATGCTGCGGAGGGGTCGTCGGATTTTTGAAGCCCTTGCGTCCACGTCAGATATCTAGCGTCAGCATTGGAGTAGCGCTGACCATGCAATCACCGAAAACGGAATCCCTCAGTTTATTTTTGACGAGGGTTGTTCGCTTATAGGCTTCTAAGCCGCTTTCTCTCGCTAATGCGCAGCACGTGTCCGTCCGCTCGGCTGGATAATTAGTTTGCGTTTAGCGACTAGCTTGCCGCCGCCCAGACAGCCGCCCACCCCTTGTCGCGCGGCGCTGAACTGAACAGATTCGGGGGGGCGAGACAGATAAATCATCGGCATCGTTCGTCTGCGCCATCGACACACCGACGTCGACGCCACATCACCGGTGCATTAGATAGCGGGTAGGACGTCCAAGTGTTATGGAAGTTCGTTGCGTCTGGGAGCTTTCGCGCGATTCTCGGCGTCCGCTGTAGCGTAACAATTAGCAAAATCGCTAGGGTCGACAGAGCGTGAAGACGTATATAGGTCGGTTTTTGAAAATCGGATACGGGGCACAGATAGGGAGTGTTTCCGTGTTTTGTTCTCTTTTTATTTAGGGGAGAAGGAGTTCGTGCAAAATCACGGGTAGACGTTCCAATGTTATGGGAATTCTTGCGTCTGAAAGCTTTCGCACGATTCTCGGCGTCCGCGGTAGCGTAACAGTTAGCAAACCGCTAGGTCGACAACGCGGAAGACCGTGTAGGTCGTTGAATCGGACACGGCACAGCTAGGGAGAAGGAGTTCGTGCAAAATCACGGGTCGACGTTCCAATGTTATGGAAATTTGCGCGGCCGGGAACTTTCGCGCCGCCGCCGCCCAAAGGAGGGTTGTTGCAAAGGATGATGGCGGGTATTTGTCCAACTACCCCGCCGCCGCCCACTCGGCATGCGCTTTGATTTAGCGCGGCGGACACTGCAGTCACTTCGACGTATTATTTGTACAACAACTACCCACCCTTGACCACCAGAGTGTATTTTTTTGCAAAGGATTATGGCCGGGTAGTTGTCGATACTAACCAACAACTACCCGACCGCCGCCCACTCGGGTTGCATTTTTATATAGTACGGCGGTCACCGACGTCACTTCGACATATTATTTGTACAACAACTACCCACCCATGTCAACCGGAGTGTATTTTTTGTCACGTACGATTTGCCGTGTACTTGGGAGTTGCAAAATTTTTAAAAAGAAACGAAAAGGGGGGCATTTTGATCCTTTTAGAAAATGCAAAATACCCCAGTACCCCCGGCAATAAGCAGTCAACAAAAAATACACTCCGGGGGACATGGGTGGGGTAGTTGTTGTACAAATAGATGTCGAAGTGACGTCGTGACCGCCGCGCTATATAAAAAAATGCAATCCGAGTGGGCTGCGGCCGTAGTTGTTGGGTTAGTACCAACAACACCTACCCGGCCATAATCCTTGCAAAAAAAAAATACACTCTGGTGGGCAAGGGTGCGGTAGTGTTAGTACAAAATAGTATTGCCGAAGTCTACTGCGGTGTCGCCGCGCGCATCAAACCGCATGCCGAGTGGACGGCCCCCAGGTTGCCGCGGGGGGGTCCAGGGGCGGCTGCCAGGTTGCCGCGGGGGGGTCCAGAAGTATATCTCCTTGATAGGACCAAGTAGATGGGTGCCTCCCCCCCGCCGTCGGCCGCGCCGCCGCCGCCGGCCCCGCGCGTCTTCCGCGGCTGCCGCGCTCGAGTTTCTTGGGTGCCGCGCGTGGCAGTTTAGCGCGATGTACATTGCACCGCACATATGGTGCCAAGATAATATAAGAACCTATTGTTTGGGGCGAACACTGATTTTTACAGCGGCCAAGCCTCGTCAAAAATAAACAGAAACGCAGATGGTAAGCAACAGATTCTGCCTGCAGAATTAAGTTGGCAGGCAAACATGTTGTCTTTCAGTGCCTGATGCGGAGGGGTCGTCGGATTTTTGAAGCCCTTGCGTCCACGTCAGATATCTAGCGTCAGCATTGGAGTAGCGCTGACCATACAATCACCGAAAACAGAATCCCTCAGTTTATTTTTGACGAGGGTTGTAGGATGAGCACGACGCGGACGAGGACTCATGAAACCATCTAGAGGTATTCTTGCGGCTGCTGCTGCTGCTGGTGCTCTCTGGGAGTTTGGGGGGCCCTCTTGGAACCCTCTTTGTAACCCTGGAAGGCTTCTTTGGATCATCTTTGAAGCCATCGATTACAGGATGGGGGGGTCCCCAACTCAGCTCCCCCCTCAGGAGCCCGGAAACCGCTTCTTGGGGCTCTCTCGGGGCGCTCTTGGGCGCTCTTGGAGCGGTCCTGGGGCCGTTTGGAGCAGCTTGGGAGCCATCTTGAGCCAGCCCAAGGAGACCGCTCGGGGGCCTCTTGGGGGCCTCTCGGGTGCCTCTTGGGGCCCTCTTGGGAGCTATGGAGTGCCTCTTGGGGCCGTCTTGGAGACCATCGATCAAAGGAGGGGGGGTCCTCGACTTGCACCCCCCCCCCCAGGGGCCATCAAAATCGCCTCTTGGGGCCCTCTTGAGGCGCTCTTGGAACGATCTTGGGCGCTCTTGGGGCCGTCTTTGGGGCACCCCTCTTGGAGCTTTCTTGGGCCATCTTGGGGCCATGTTGAGGCCCCCAAAGCGCATCGGAAGCGAAACGGCGAGAAGGTAGCCATCACTGATGTTCCTTAGGTTTTTGATGGATTTTGGGCTTTCGGGGGGTCCTGAGGGGTCTCCAAGAGCACCTGGAACCGTCTGGTGGCCCTCTTGGGACGTCTTGGAGGCATGTCGGAAGCTGTCTTGAGCCATGTTGGGCTATCTTGAACGATCTTGGAGGCAATCTTGGGCTCTCTGAGGCCCTCTTGGAGCCATCTTGTGCGAAAAAGGACCCTCTGACACATCGCGGGGCGCCCCGTCCAGGTCCAGGGGAGGGGGTAGGGGAAGGGGTAAACCCCTCCCCGAAGGGGAAAAAGGGATTGTGGAAGAGGAAAGAAATGCATCGTTAGACCACCTGTCGCCCAGAGGGCTGGTGGGATTTTCAAAACGAATGTGCGCCACGCTAAGGCGATAGCCACATTTTGAAAACGACCCGCCTTCAATCCATGAAGCCCTTGCATTTTTTACAACGAATGTGCGCCGCGCTAAGGCGAGATCCACTTTTTTGTAGACCACCCGCCCTCCATCTGTGAAATTGTTGCAAGTTTTTCAACGTCAGAGTCATACATGGTGAGGAAATCTCAGGCGAAACTCCCGGCCCGCCCTGAAAACTACCATCGGGGTGCGACAGGGAGAAGGTATTCATAATGGCAAGGAATGGAGGAGGAGGAGGAGGAGGAGGAGGAGGAGGAGGGGAGGAGGAGGAGGAGGAGGAGGAGGAGGAGGAGGAGAGGAGGAGGAGGAGGAGGAGGAGGAGGAGGAGGGGAGAGGAGGAGGACGAGACGAGGACGAGGAGGACGAGGAGGAGGAGGAGGAGGTGGAGGCAAGATGGGGCAGGAGGCAGGAAACAGGAGGTAGGAGGAAGATGATGATGAGGAGGAGGAGGTGGAGGAGGAGGAGGAGGAGGTGGAGGAGGAGGAGGAAAAGGAGGGGGAGGAGAAGGGGGTAGAGAAAAGAGGGGAGGGAGGACGGAGGAGGAGGAGGAGGAGGAGGAGGAAGAGGAGGAGGAGGAGGAGGAGGAGGAGAAATCTAGAGGATGTTGGTGGTTCCGACGAGCCGTTCGACGTGGCCACGGCGTGCACGTTGCGCATCATCCAGATCACCGACGTGTACGTTCTCGAGAACTTTCCGCATTTGCGGACCCTGATCAAGGAGAAGCGCGCGGAGCTGGAGGCGAGCTCTCCGTCCAGCAGGACCATCAGCATGCTCACCGGGGACTTCCTGGCGCCCTATCTGCTCTCGTCCTTCGACAAGGGCCGGGGCATGATGCAGATGTTGAATGGGACGCCCATCGACTATCTCACCTGGGGCAACCACGAGGACGATGTTGGGCACGCGGCAGTCATGAAGCGGGAAAGGGAGTACAGGGGCGTTTGGATCAACACTAACATGCAGTCACATGAGTCCTTTGCCGATTCCAAGTGCCAGGTGGAGGAAGCGGTGATCGAAGTCCGGTCGCCTGACGGGTCCAACACGCGCAGGATAGGCATGATTGGCATCCTCAGCAACTCGCCGAGCCTCTACAAGCCCACCTCGTTCGGTGGCGCTGAGATCCGCGACCCCTGGGAGACCATGAAGGTCTACAAGGAGAAGCTTGAGCGGGGCGGCTGCGACGTTGTCATCCCTCTCTGCCACCTCTACGAGCCCCAAGACGAGCGCACGTGCAAGGAGTTCGACTTCCCGCTGATCCTCAGCGGCCACGACCACCACGTCGTGGACAGGACGATCGAGGGCACGCGCCTGCTGAAGCCTGGCCTGGATGGCCACAAGGCACCTGGGCGTCTGGATCGCTACGGTCAGGAACTTTTGCTCAGCGTGTCGCTCCGCCGCCTCTGGCCCGCCACGCCTCGGCCCGACGCGCTGACCACTTTCCTGGTCGTCCCTGGGTGTCAGCATACCTAGCCATTCCCAGCCTCCCGCCAAGCGGGGCGGAGCGACACGCTCTCAGCTCGCTGGGGCCGCCGCCGCGACACGGCAAGTAAAAGTTCCTGACCGTGTATCCCCCCTGGGAACCCTTGGGCGAAGGGGGGGAAGGCAGGAGAACGACGAGACGCTGCAAGATGAGGGGGAGCAGGAGGCGGAGGAGGGGGAGGGGTGGGCACAGCCGAACCGCTAGGCCTGGATGGTCGATGTGACCTTCTCGTCCTCCGCCAGCAGATCCCCGATCGTGTCTGCCCAGCTCCTCAACGTGAAGGACTGGCCCGCCGACGCAGAGCTGGCCAAGGAGGCCGACGAGGCCTACTCGGTGCTCGACCCCCTGAGGAAGACAGAGCTGGCGAGGATCCCGTCCAAGTTCAGGCCACTCACCTCTTTCAACGCGAGGGGATGCAGGGTCTCGATGGGCACCTACCTGCTCTCGTGCATCCGCGACGCCCTGAACATGTTCGACCCCATCGGGAGCGAGGCTTCGTGCGACTGCGCCCTTCTGAAGGGCGGGAACGTGCGCGGCGGCAAGGACTACGCCGATGACGAGGCCCTCACCCTTGAGGTCCTCCAGTCGGAGCTGGAGGAGACCAAGGAGATATTGATCATCCCGGTGCCGGGCTTCCTCCTACGCATCGGCCTGTGTGAGACATGGGCGGCGCCGAACCCTGGCTGGATGCAGATGGACGACGGCATCGAGCTGGACCAGAACGGTTTCGTGGAGAGGGTGAACGGGAAGCCGTTGGACATCTCCAAGGTGTACAAGGTGGCTAGCATCGTCGACTTCTGGCGCAAGCGCGACTCGCCAAGCATCGGCGCCTACTTCGAGGTCAACCCAGGCCATCTGCCGGAGCACGACTCGGGCTATCCAGTCCACGCGCTGCTCATCCGCCTGTTCGCTATGGACCTCTGGGCACGCATCTGGAAGGCGCTGGGCATCAACATCGAATCGGGCGAAATATCCGCCGAGGCGTTTGGGCGGATGGACTTCGACAAGGACGGGAAGCTGTCCCACGAGGACATCCGGAAGTCCATCGAGAGCCTGGCCGACTTCCGCACCTACGCTGGCCAGGACTCTGGATGGCGGCCGCCCTTGCCGCGCCCCGAGCACAGTAATGCCCACCGAGCTGGAGACGCGCCCCTGTGGATCTCGCAGAACTCCTGGGCACGTCTGCCTTCCCAACCCGAGGGCGGGACATCCCCAGGCATCCGACGTCCTGTTCTTCTCATCCTGGCTCCGCCGAGGTCTGCGCCGCTTCCCTGGGGCCGGTCTCGCGCCCTGGGTGCCTTTTCTGACGGTCCCGGGTGCTGCGAGGGTCCCAGGAGGCTTCGCGTGCGCTTGCTGCAGGAGGGGGTCTTTCCGCAAGTTCTTTTGCGCGAGGATGCCAGGGGATCAGCATCCAACGCTCCGCGAGATCTTCGGGGGGGCACGTCTCAAAGTCGGTGGATGCGGAAAAGCACGAGCGTGGACATCCGGAGCCTCGCCCGATCTGGCGGTCGAACGGGCTCGGGAGTGCAGGCGGGCTAGGTCTGATGATTCCAAAACCGAGCTTTGCTCCCTCGTGGGGGAGGGGCTTCTGCCTAGGCCAAGCTGCGGCGGCAAGGCGGATCGCCTCAGCTCCATAGCCATGGGCCGTAGCTGTAGCCTCCTCCTCCTCCTCCTTCTTCTCCTCCTCCTCTTCCTCCTCCTGACACACGGGCCCTCAATCAAGGATGTGGTCGTGAAGCACATGTTCGACGAGATCGCCTCCTTCGCGAGACAGACCTCGGACACCGAGCACCTGCACCAGGAAACACTGCAGACCGCCGCCAAGCACCTATCGAGCACCAGCCTCAGCCAGCGGAGCCTGGACGACGACAGCGAAGAAGACGAGGCCGTCCCCGCGTGATTTTCCACCTAGGAGCGCGGGGGCGGGCCGGTTTTCCTGGCCCGAGGGCGCTCGCGGCTGGGGCGGGCCCGGTTTTCCCGGCCGATGCTCGAAGAAGGAGATGCAGCAACTGAACAAGCACTTTCAGAGGCCATTCCGCATTTCTTGGATCGGCGCTGGATCCCCCTGGCGGCGCCGCTCCTGGCGCGCTCCGTGCGCCAGGAAGGGGATCCAGTGCCGATCCAAGAAATCCGCGCGGACCTCCGGAAGTGTATGTTCGTGCTGCTGCTCCTTCTTCCCGATCCACCAGCCGTGGCGCCCCGTTCTCCCGGCCGCCGTTCACCAGACACGCAGGTGTCCCGTCGCGCCGACGCGCTGGCCGAAGCTCCAGCGGCAGCGCCCGGGGGGCTGGGAGAGGTGGTGCGAGGCTGGAGCATGGGAACATTGATTGGGGCGGGGCGGGCAGCGAGAGGTGCGGCGGGAGTGGCGGAGCACCCCCTCAACCAACCGATCAAGGCACCAGTGGATCAATAACTGGTAGGGCAGCCAATCGATGCACGACTCGATCCCCCCCCTCCCTGGGGCCCGCCTCGCCTGGGGCCGCGGGGTGGGCCCCCGCGAGGCCGAGGGTGTTCTGGCTCCGAGGCGTGCCCTGGCGTGGGGGGGAAGGAGGAGGAGGAGGAGGAGGAGGAGGAGGAGGAGGAGGAGGAGGAGGAGGAGGAGGAGGAGGAGGAGGAGGAGGAGGAGGGTGCGGAGGAGGAGGAGGAGAAGGAGGAGGAGGAGGAGGAGGAGGAGGAGGAGGAGATGCAAGACAGCCCGGGAGGCCCCGAGACGGCCCAACACTGCCTCAGCAGGGCCCCAGAACCCCCCCCCCAAATGCTCCGAGGAGAGCCCGAGAGGAGGCAAGCGCCATTCCTCTCCAGCCCTCCCTGGGGCTGCCGGGCGGCCTTCGGCCAGCGAAGGACAAGGACGCAGTTCCGCGCGAGACGATTTCAAACTTCGGCAACGGAAAAGCTTTCGGCCGCGCCGCGCGCGTGGTCGCGGGGCGGCGGCGGCGGCGGCGCCGCCGCAGCGGGGGCCTGCACGGTCTGTGGCCCTCATTACTGCCCCCTCCTTGCCGGGCTGGCCCCCCGTCCCACTCTCGCCCCTCCGCCGCCTCCCTCTCGTTATCCTTTTTTCTTTCGCTGGTCGCTCTCATTCTCTATATAGGTTTGAGCTTCCCAGCGTTCGAGGTGTCGTCGAGGGCGGCGAACTTGCCATCCCCATTGTTCGTCGACGACGGACTGCCCTCCCTCCCTCCCTTCCCCTGCGCGCCCTCCCGTGGCCTGCCTCGCTTCCTTGCCCTCCCCCTCCCCTCCTGCACTCCCTCCCCCTCCTCTGCCCCGCCGCCCCCCTGCCCTCGCTCCACCGGCTCCCCAGGAGGAGGAGGAGGAGGAGGAGGAGGAGGAGGAGGAGGAGGAGGAGGAGGAGGAGGAGGAGGAGGAGGAGGAGGAGGAGGAGGAGGAGGAGGAAGGAGGAGGAGGAGGAGGAGGGAGGAGGAGGAGGACGAGGATTTCGTTACCCCCCCCCCCCCCGCGCCGCTGGGCTGTGCCCTCCCCTTGCGGCGGCCGCCTCGGCTCCTGGGTCCCGAGCGCGCGGCAGGCTCTTCTCGCGCCTCTTTGGCCTCTTTGGCCTGAGGCTGGCTGTCCTGGGTGCCGCGCTCCACTTCCCGCTTCGACGACCGCGACCTCTGGCGGCGCGACCGGGGAGTGGGGGAGGGGGGGGGGCAGGCCGAACGGCAGGCGTGTGCCGAACGTAGGCCGCTCCGGGCCGCTTCCGTCTCGGAGCACTCTGGAATGGCCGCGGCGCCAGATACACGCCCCCCCCCAAGACCCGCCGGCTCTCAGAGGTCCTCGGCTCATCCATTTGTCTCCGACACGACACCTCTTCCTCCTCCTCCTACTCCTCTTCCTCCTCCTCCTCCTGCCTGTTCCGATTCTGATTCCGATTCCGATTCCTCCTCCTCCTCCTCCGCCTCCTCTTCCTCCTCCTCCTCCTCTTCCTCTTCCTGCTCCTCGTCTCCCTCCCACCCTCCTCGAGATTGTTTTTTACTCGGTGGGCCCGTGACGTGCGTCGCGGGGGGTCCCCCCCCCCTCCCCCCCCTCCTCCGCAACGGTGCCCACCAAACGCGGGGGGGGGTGGGAGGGGGGGTTCCCCACAGGCACGGCGCGGTGCTCACATGAATGTCGTGGTACTGAAAGG